CCCTCCATCGGGGACCATCTCTCTAATCTCCTATCCCTCCATCGAAGACTATCTTTCTAATTTCCTATCCCTCCATTGAAGACCATCTTTCTAATCTCCTAAATCTCTATCGATGACAGTTCTCTTGTCTCTTAGCTCTCCATCCAAGCTCACCTCTCTGGTTCTCTAAATTGCCCATTAATCCCCGTCCCTCCAGTACCCTAACTGTCCAATCTGCAAGGGAACACCACCCCCTGCAAGTTTTTCTTTGAGGCACCTGGGATGTATATTGCTCTTCCTTTACTGTCGCTGGGTCAAAATCCTGGAATTCCCTCCCTACACCAGATGGGCTGCAGTGGTTCAAGAAGGCAGCTCACCCCCACCTTCTCAAGGGGGCAACTAAGGACGGGCCAATAAAGGCTGGGCCCAGCCAGCGATGCCCACATCCCACAAGTGAATAAAAAAGTACGAGCCAGTTTCCACCAAAATGGGGCTGGTGTCAGTGGTCAATGAACCAACGCACAGAAGGAGGTCACTCGGCCCCTTAATCCATGCTGGCTCTCTGAGGAACAATCCAATTGGTCCCATTCTTCCGCTGCATCCCTGCAGGAAGTTTATTTCCCTGGAGCCTCCATCCAATTTCCTTTTGAAGTCAGCAGAGGGGATAAGTACTCTGCCCATCTGCCGTATGGAGTGTTGCAAATAAACCGACAGAGAAACCAGACTGTTTCCTTTGCTGGAAGTAGGTTTACCAGATTAACAAGTGGTGCCTGAAATATTCCAGGCCGAGCCTGTTGACAGGAAGAGAGCGGTTAATATTTCAGGCCAGTTACCAGGGTCAGAGACTTTTTGCTTTCTGTCTGATGAGCTACTGATTGCTGTTGGTCTCCATTCTGTAACCTCGCGGGGCTCCACAGCCCTGGTTTATCCTCATCATGTGGCTGTCAATACAGAAGAAAAGATTAAAGCACAATGGTTTCAAAAAACATCCCCAGATTCTGATTTAAAAAGAGAGAACTCCTCCAGCAGCCCCGCCAAAGAGGAAATGGCAGTGGATCTGTCAGACAAGATGTCGAATCTTGCTTTCAGGGAGTGTTAGTGAAAATGGTTACATTGTCCTTCGCTCCAGAAGTGTATCCAGCGAGATCAGTGATCACTCTGAAATATATTCCCCAGCCACGAGGTGCAATCGTCCAACGCAACACTGGGCCAAGCAGCTTCAATCCTGAAATCCCGCAGATTTACCAGCTCAGACAACAACCTGCATTTATACAGAGATAGTACGAACTGCCGATGCTGGAGAATCTGAGATAACAAGGTGTAGAGCTGGATGAACACAGCAGGCCAAGCAGCATCAGAGGAGCAGGAAGGCTGACGTTTCAGGTCTGGACCCTTCTTCATTTCTGAAACGTCAGCTTTCCTGCTCCCCTGACGCTGCCTGGCCTGCTGTGTTCCTCCAGCTCCCAACCTGCATTTATGCGGCGCCTTTCACGTAGAGGAGCATACCAAGACGCTTCGCAGGAGCAAAGTGTTACATCGGGCCCCATAAAGAGATATCGGGTCATGTGACCGGATGTTGGATCCAAGAGGTAGGCTGTCAGGAACCTCTTAAAGAAGGAG